AGAGGACTTAGTGTTAGGAACGGCAAATAAATTAATATACTTAGTAAAGGCGTGTACAATAACGAGTATATATGTATTTTTACCTTTACTTTTATTAAATGGACCTAAATGATCCGCATGAATAGTGTGGAAAGGCACTTCTATTTTAGGAATGGGATTTAACTGACCTGATTTAGAACCACCAGGTATTTTGTGATGTGCACACTCAATACATGCAGAAACGTATTTTTTAATGAACCGTCGCATTTTAGGAAACCAGTAAAACGATTTTATACGATCAAGAGTTTTCTCAAATCCGAAATGACCGACAGAATCATGATTTGCCTGCAAAATTTGCCATCGGGCTGATTTAGACACTAACCAACGTAACGTATTCGGGTCAATTACACGATAAACTCTACCGTTTTTTAACTTATAGTTTTTCACAATATCCATTATGTTTTCGGTTTCGGGGCGCATAAGAGTGTCTTTAATTTGTTTAATTGCCTCGTCACTTTCCTGTATAGTAGCAATCCAATCTTCAGAGTTAACGGTTAGTATTTCCAACATCTGAGTCTCGTTAGCACAGTTGTGTATTGCATTCCTACTAAGTGCGTCGACATGCTGCATTTTATCTCCTGGCCTATGTTCAATAGTACAGTCAAATTCTTGAAACTGTATCCACCATCTAGCAATTCGTGGAATTAAATCACGCTTTGTCAGGGCAGTGCGCAAGGAGTTACAGTCTGTGCATATGATAAACGGTATACCTAATAGATAAACGCGGAACCTGTTTAGAGACGCGATTACAGCGAGGGTTTCTAACTCAAAAGAATGTAGTTTTTGTTCATCCTTGTTTGTTTGCCGGCTGTAATAAGCAATTGGTTGCAACAATCCAGCTTTATTCTTTTGCAAAAGAATTCCGGCTATACCCATTTGGCTTGCATCCGTATGAAGCTGGGTTTCTGCCGCGGGATCATACAAGGCAAGTACTGGTCTTTGAATCAGCTTTTCTTTCAGCGTTTCAAAAGACTGTTGTTCTTCCTTACCCCACTGCCATGACGATTCTTTTTTGAGTAAGCTTGTCAAAGGTTTTGCGATTAAAGCAAAATCTTTCACAAAGCGACGAAAAAAACTTGCCAAACCAAGGAATCGCCTAACATCGTGCTGATTTCGTGGTGGTGTAAATTTAGAAACTGCTTCAGTTTTCAGTATTCCTGGCCTGATGCCGTCTTCACTTATTTCGAAAACAAGATAATCTATTTTAGAAAAGAAAAATCTACATTTGCATAACTTTAAGGTCAGTCCACCTTCCTTGAGCAGTTTCAAAATTTCCTCCAACCGCTGTAGACCCTCGTCAAATGTTTTTACGGGAATCAGAATATCATCCACATATATAAGAGCGTATTTAGCCCTAGCCTTACACAATATTTTATTTATAGTTCTTTGGAAAACTGACGGGGCATTCACTAGCCCAAACGGCATTCAATTATATTCATATTGCCCGTCCGGGGTGACGAATGCGGTAACATGGCAAGAGTTTTCAGAAATTGGTATTTGGTAGTAGCCAGACGCAAGATCTAAGGTTATAAACATTTTTGTACCGGCTAATAAATCCAGTTTATCTTCTATTCTAGGAAGTGGGTAATGCTCTTTTATGGTTTTGTTATTCAGGGCCCTATAGTCTACACATAACCTTTTATCACCAGATTTCTTTTGAACCAATACTATAGGACTGGCATATGAAAATGTTGATTCACGAATTATGTTACAGTCTAACATTTCCTGTATCATATCTTGTACCAATTTCCTATCGGGTATCGAGAGACGATAGGGCCTGTAAACGACAGGTTGAGAGTCCTTGAGATTTATAGTCATTTCCGTGACAGAGGTAAAACCTAATTCATGGAGATTCAATGAAAAACATTCTTTATATTTATGGAGTAGTTCTAAGAGTTTTTCCCTTTGATCTTGATCTAGTTCTCCGTAATTTAATGTTTTTTCCTCCTCCCGGCTAATATTCAAAACGTAAGCAGGACTATCGCTTTCTTTATTTTTAACTATTTCTTTTACAGTATTTGAACGCGTTATCAAACTATTAGAATTTATAGTTAATTCTTTCCCACTCAAATTTTGAACAAGTAAGCATCCTTCACCATTAGAAAGTCTATATCCACCAGGCAAAAGAAAATGTTCTTGTCCTATTGGACTCCTAATAGTTCCATTTACATAAATGTTACCAGAATAATTAGAGTTAGCTGCCTTAACAGAGATAGATGATAACCCATCGATCGTCAATATAGTATCGGATATTGAGATCAAAAAGAGCTTGACCTGCTCAGAGTTTATGCATCTTTTAACTATCAGATCAGTAGGAGTCTTTACTATCGTAATTGATGGACGTTCTGTATAAGTATGACCTATGAGTACGGGATGGCTTATCATGTGATCATGGATGATTAACACCTCAACATCTTTTTCAATTACACCTTGTACATCTATAGTCACGTAAGCTCGACCAATCGGGAGATAGGGAACATTGCCCAAACCCTTCAGGAAAGGAGAATCAACAGTTTGCCATTTAATGTTAAGCGCTTTTGCATCACTAATTCGAATGAGAGTACATTCACTACCTAAATCTATATGTGACGTAATGGTGATACCATTAATTTTTACGGGTAATTTATATTTTGTATCTAAACGTGAATTAACAGAGACTTCCATTACTGTTTGCGTATTTTCAATCTTATTAGATTGGTCTCTAATTAATTTAGGGCACTTATCAAAAGTGTGACCTCTCCATTTGCAATTTGTACACTTAATGGTTGGTTTTGGACATCTATAGAAAGAATGTCCAACCTCATTGCAGTTATAGCATGTAAGTTTAGTGTTAGCTGGCTTTATTGATTTCCCTGTTCCAGAAGAGCTTACAATATGGTTAGAATCTTTGGTTTTAACCTTATGATCAAAATCTCGACTATGTCCAATTTTTATAGTCTTAAAATATTTAAGTAATTCCTCGGGTTCTATAAATTGAGCTCCTTGAGCACTTAAACGAATACCTCTATCTTCTATACCGAAAACTAAGCAGTCTACAGCCTTCTTGTTATATATACCACACCTATTTAAAAGATTTATTTTCGCGTAATAATAAAGTTCTAATGATTCTCCAAATCTGGCTTTTTTCGCCAACATGTCGGTTAATAGTTCTGCATAATTTTCTCTAGTAGGAAAAGACTCTAATAATTTTATTTTCCATTCTTCCCATGTGTGAAGAAGAGACGGTAGACCCCTGTACCAAGTCATGGCAACGCCCGTAAGTTTAGGTAAAGCATAATATACGATTTGTTTATCATTCCAACCATAAATTTGGGCACATTCATCAACTTTGTGGATCCATTTATCTACCGTCTGTTCTTTAGACAAAGGGTCAAACTCGGGAATCACATTCATTAACGGAAATCTATCACCTCTATCAGAACAGTTTTTTATAACATCTAAAATTTTGTCAATCCAAACAGTGGTATCAGCGGGTTTTAAATGTTCGTTTTGGCTTACTAATACAGGGTTGACAGTTTCATTGTGTCTCATCCGAGACCTAGGTTGAGACTCACGTGATTTCGATGAAGATGTATGAGGAGATCTTGAGCGTGAACTGGAATCCCTTTGGCACCGACTGTTGTCATCATCAGAAGAACTCCTCCGTCGGTGTGATGTCCTTTTTTTTGAACGTTTGTCTTTCGATTTCCGTGGCATCTGAAACTTTTAAAAGTACATGTAACTATTCTTGACGGACTTAAAGTTCAAGCATACATTGATAAAACAATTGTTTTTTTTTTGTATAAGTGAGATAGAGCAGGTAATAGGAAGTCCTTTAGAGAGTAGCCCTGGCTAAAGTCAGGTAAAGGAAGACCTCCAGGGAGTAGCCCTGGCTAAGGTCAGGTAAAGGAAGACCTCCAGGGAGTAGCCCTGGCTAAAGTCGGGAAAAGAAAGACCTCCAGAGAGTAGCCCTGGCTAAGGTCAGGTAAAGGAAGACCTCCAGAGAGTAGCCCTGGCTAAGGTCAGGACAAGGAAAAGGAGGTACCTCTTATAGGTTACATGCATACACCGATATAACAATGAAAAATGTAAAAAAAATCAAAGCATTAAAAGATAATATTACTATTTGATCTCTATTAAAAAAAAAAAGTTTACGATAAAGTATATGGTAGTCTTAATCGATTAACCTAGACTTAATTATAAATATCGTGCAAGTGTCTATCAAAATTATTCTTTAGTAACATACATGTAATATTAGTCTGTTTTACTGTATTTTAAGTAATTGGTATTTCAGTTAATTAAAAAAAAAAGTAAATCTTTTCATGTTGTAATTAGCAAAAAGTAATTAGTAAAAGTAATTAGCAGCGAAAGAATAAAATATTACGTATTTGTATTAATTTACTTTCTTATTTCGTATCTATACTTAAAATTCTGCAGGTAAGAGAAAAAAAAATAGAAAAGGTATGGATACATTTGCAAAATGAAACAATAAAGTACTTACATTTTGTGCACGGTAATCCCACTTCTGAGTTGTTGAGGACTTGAAATAAGAACTATCTTCGTGATAACAACTGATTTTAATACCATATACTTCTTGTAATAACCATAGACATCGACCATCCGTCGATGCTTACAAAAACCAACTGACCATGTGCACATCCGTCATTTAGCTTTTATAGTCTCAATGCAAGATGGCGGATGTGCTTCCGATTTACAAATGTTACCATTATAGAAAAAAAAACTTAGAGATAATGACATATATTAAAATTATTTTAAAACAGTTTTAACATATTATCGTATATTATTTATTTGTATTAATGAGTTTAATATAATAATTATAATATTTAAATCGCAAAGTATAGTCATTTCATTACTTTTACCTAAAACAAGTTTACAGTAGATAGTGTTTATGCAGTCATAGAAAGAAGTGCAGAAAATTCTATAATTTATGCTCCATAACAATGGGCAACCGTTTTTCAACTGGCTAGGAAGAATCCAAAACCCTATAACGTTGAAATAATGTCCCATCAAGATTTTAAATCATGGGATTCAATTTCTGAAACATATTTGAAAAACAATTTAGTAGGTAAAATAAGTAAAATTAAGATTGTCAAATTAAAAAAAAATGACTTATCCAACATTTTTGTTAAATTCAGTATGGATAATACAGCAGAAACTGAAAAAATTGAAGTGTTGGGTAAAAATAAGCGGCCAGCAGATGATTTATACAAAAATCATCTTCCTATACACAAACAAAAACACGCTGATTTGGTAAAACTTTTGCAATCCCGCGTAGATATCATGAGGAGTACCTTAGTTTGCAAACTTGCAATGCCAAATAAATATTACCAGATACTAATATAGAAGATGTTGAAAATTGTATTTTTAATTTTTTTAATGTCTTGGATTTATTTCCGAAGTGTGATTATTTAAATATAAGATTAGTATTAAAGAAGTTGTTGAATATTGATTTTTTATGTAACTTAATGTCTTGGATCTTTTCAAAAGTGAGATTATATTTTATACTTATAAGATCAATACTCCTCAGATACAGAAGATGTTGAAATTTTATGTTATCTAATATCTTGGATATTTTTCCAAAGTGTGATTATTTTTAATTTTGTATTTGATTAGTATAAGTCTAAGTACAAGTACCTAAACCTATTAAATTGTGATATCTGATCTCTAGGTATACTTAAAAGTATTGTCTTTCCATTTTTTAAGACATATATTTTTGTGTATTTTAGTTTTACCCGTAACTTCCATTAGTCATTAATATTGTGAGATAATACTTAAAGCCTAGCGGTAACTTTAGCTTAATACAAGAAAAGACACTTTAGTTTTCATGCTCTGACTTGACTGGGCCTGATAAAACATTTATAAGGCATGGTTTTGGTGCAGACGGTTGCAACGTGATGATGGGTGGGAATAACTCTGTGGCGAACAGACTTAAGGTAAACTTGCCAGGTATATTTGTAATAAAATATGTTTGCCACTCTGTACACCTTTGCGCATCTGAATCATGCAAACAGTTACCAAGACGCTGCGGAGATTTAGCAAGAGATATATATATATTTTTAAAACAGTTCGAAAAGACAATTTCTCTTTCAACAATTTCAAGATTTTGCGAGTACTTCACTTCATATGCTATTGCATCCTTCGCAGACACGTTGGTTGTCCTTGGTGGCGGTGGTAAATCGATTGTTAGAACAATGGGATGCATTAATACACTGGACCGCAAAGAAAACGGGTCGGTTAGAAAATCTTCAATAACTTGAAAACTACCTCACCTAGCTTTATGAAATAAAAACTCAATTAAAGAATATTTAATGTTATTTAACATAGTATATAAAACCTTTTTATTTACTTTAGATAATTGTGTAAGAAAACTGGCAATGAAGATAATGGTTGTTTTTCAATTAAGTTCTAAAAAAAATCAAAGCATTTGTTTCGCATTTGTTTTAGTTTTGACATAAAAACTACAATAAATACCGTGTGTTTGTCATACAAAAATTGTATTCTGAAGTCATCATGTCGTTAACCCCTGAAGAATGCACCAGGATCCTGACAATGCTTGAAGATGGGCGCAGTCAGCGCAATACAGCGAGAACTGTTGGTGTGAGTCTTTCCACAGTTCAGCGGGTACTCCAGCGTTTCCATGAAACTGGATCCAACCTAAGAAGACCAGGAACAGGCCGAACGAGGTGCACGACTGCGCGGGAGGATCGCTATATGGTGTCAACAATTTTGAGAAATCGATTTCTTACAGCCGTTGAGGTAAAAAATCACCATTTACGAGCTGGAGGAAACTATCTGAGTACAGATACAGTAAGGCGACGTCTGGCTGAAACAAATTTGAGACCATTAAGGCCTGCAAATGGCCCAAAATTAGAAAGACACCACTTAAACTCAAGGCTGAGTTATAGCAGAGAACACGAAACTTGGACTCTGGATGACTGGTCAAGACGAGTCTAGATTCTGTTTATACAAGCACGATGGGAGGAAAAGAGTGTACCGAAGACCGGGAGTGCGCTATAACCAAGCTTGTTTAGAAGAAAAAGTACCATATGGCGGTGGCTCTATACACGTGTGGGCTGGGATTTCTTCCGAAAGCCGTACTGAGCTAGTAGTGATAGAAAATGGCAGTTTAACAGCAGAACGATATGTGAATGAAATTCTTAATGACTATGTTGGTCCATTTTTAGTAGATATGGGCGAAAATGCTGTTTTTTATGCAAGACAACGCCCGCCCGCATACAGCTCAGATAGTGTTCGACTATTTTCACGAAGTAGGTATCACATGCATGGAGTGGCCAGCACGAAGCCCCGACTTAAACCCCATCGAACATGCATGGGACGAACTGGGACGACGTGTACGTCAACGGAATCCGCCGCCAATCACGCTGCGTGAATTGAAAGGAGCTTTGATCGAGGAATGGCAGAACATTCCGCAGCATCGCCTTAAAAACCTTGTGGAAGGTATGCCGAATCGCATAGCCGCAGTTTTGCAAGCTCGTGGAGGCAACACGAAATACTAACATGCGTAAAAACGTCACATCTTTATACAATTCATATTTACGAAAATGTCAGAAAAACTATCTTTTTCATTCGTTTGACATTTATTGAAAATAGACAACTTTTAATTTGTATTTTTTTATATTCAATAAATTACAATCAAATAATCTTTAATTTAGTTTTTATTTCATAAAAATAAGTTAAGTAGTTTTCAAGATATTGACGATTTTCTAACCGACCCGTTTTCTTTGCGGTCCAGTGTAGTTTGAATGATCCAATCATACACATTTATTACTTGTTTTAGTCTTGGATATTGCCGAAATTTACCAATTTCAATAAACTTTTTCAATCGGAAAAAGTAGTGATCACATCATGAAACGAAAAGGTGCACGAAATGTATAAAGATATTTTTCTTTGTATTTTGGGTCGTGATTATGTCGACAAAGAGAACTTTCTGCTATTGACCTTGAACGACAAGAAAAATGGTTAAAAGATGAACATATTCATTTGGGAATTTAAGTAATGAACAAAATTACGCAGCCTGAACTTCGTTGCTAGAGTTTTTTCAACGCTGCTTTGATAGAATGGGGTCATGAAAAAACTCCTTGGTTTTTTCATGACCCCATTCTATCAAAACTGGATTGTCTTGAATCTACCAATGCTGCTTCCATTAATTACAGGAAAAAAGTATCAACGTTACAGCCACTCATGATACTTGTTCCAAGAATAGTAAAACCCGAGTACATGCAAATGATACAGGCGATAGATGATGATGGCGCAGTTTACCCAATATTTCACATAAAATTTATGTATTAACTATGAATACCGATGAGTTTTGGGGCGTCATTAAAAAACAATTTGAAAATTATAAAACACTGGCTCAATTTGCTTTAAATGTTTTATGTTTACCGCATTCCAGTGCAGACTGTGAAAGGGCATTCATTGAGGTCAATTTAATCAAAACAAAACTTGGAAATAGTTTATCGAATGAAGCACTGAAGGGAACATCTTAGCCAAGCAATTAATACGAAGAAACGGAAATTGCACCAAGTTTAAGCCAACAACAGAAATGTTAAAAAGTATGACCTCAGAAAATTTGTATAAGTCTAATAAATAGTTTTATTGCATTTTTTTCAAATTATTATCATTTTTAATAAAAATTTGAACTTCTATGTTGTATGATCTTTTTAATTTAAAATTTCCTTAGAATAGGATTTTTTTTGTAGTTGACGTACGATCATGCCTTTTCTTCATCTAGCAACCGTGAGCGCGCAACAAGCTGACTCAGTCTGCCGTCGACCGCCGTGACGGTTACAAGGTTCAGTTTTTATGCCACTTTGTTCGAAACATATATAAGATAAAATATCCTAAAACGAGTACGCCAATTACACGATAAGTGAAAAATGTTATTTACAATGTCCACAGTTTTTTTCTCAGACGAAAGGTTGACAAGGAAAGTATACAACAAAAATATGATATGAACATTAATAAATTAGTAGCATATTCCACAGGAGTGTCAGCTCGCAGCGTAATGAGAATTATACCTGAAGTAAATTCGAATCTGCAAACATCAGAAAACATGAAATTTTCGTCTTCACGGAAACGTAAACAAATATAAAGATGATCCATATTGATGATTTTGAAATGGGTGTAATACGAATAAAATTCATCAGTTTTGTAATGTTAATAAAAAAAATCCAAGTATTCGTAGGTTTAGAAAAAGATGGTATCGTGAACTGCTGTTGTACCTATTTAAGACAATCTAAGAAACATATTTTGATTGAGAGACCCTGTATAGCTGAATGGCGAGTAAGGTATTTATGAGCTATAAGGAAATATAGAAATCAAAACCGAAACATATATTTTCTTGACGAAACTTACGTTACACTTGCCATAACTCCAAAATGTGTTGACATCTTAATTTGAGCCTGATATTTATGATGATATTGGCAAAGAGTGTCGTTTAGTGATTGTTCATGGTGGCAGTCGAGACGGATTAGATGACGGTGCTTGGACTATTATCAAATCAGATTCGGAATGCGGGATTACCATGGGGATATGAATGCCACAAATTTTCATAACTGGGTTTATCACCAATTGAAAAATAAATTAACTCCTAATTCAGTGGTCGTGATCGTGTACAATGTCAAGTCTAAAGAGAGTCATGCAAGGTTGTTTACGATAATAAAATACGAATTCGAAAAAAAAGATGAACTGAATTCGTCCCTGGTTATCAAAGGCAAAAACGAGCCGGTCTCCATCCACTCATCGTACGCGCTAGCCAATCACATCACAGATCTCGACTGGCGTCTTCTTTGTCCCGTCGGCGTCTTGGTCGGTTTTCCGCTCAGTCGCCGCCGGTCATTTGCGCGTGAGATACGTTACCGCATCGCTGCCACCGTACCGATGCGAAGCGACTTTTCCGTCGATTTTTCTGTGTCTATGTGTGTGTGTGTGTTTACTTTAGTGAAGACTAGTTAGTTTAGTTTAATTAAGTTGAAAATGTCTTTAGAAGCAAGGGATTATTTGAACATAGTTTTATTTTACACAAAGTATGGCTATAAGGCGAGGGCAGCCTTACGTTTGTACCGTGAACGCTTTTCTCAACCACACCCTACAAACCCTCGCGTTGTTACAAGTGCACTTTATAGGCTAAAAGGAAATCACCCCATCGTCCCACGTACCTCCACGGATGACCAGCTAGGTGGCCGATCTACGCGTGTACCTGTTCAACTCGAGGTAACGTCTTGCTATACTTCGACCAAAATCCAAGAGCCAGTTCTCGCCAAGCGGGACGGCACTTCGGAGTTAACCATATGCTCGACCTGCATGTATTGAAAATGAACAGGCGCTGCCCATACCATGACAATAACGTTTTTGTCATTAGTTACCACGTTATTGAAGGGATCAACCAAGTTTCCGTTTCTTCTTTCTACAAAAACATTATTGAAAACAATTTTACTAACGGAACTCATATACACTGATGCCACTTACAAACTGATATGGCAGGGATTTCCGGCTCTGATTGTTGGCACTACAGATAAAAATCGCAATTTCCATCCCATTTACTTGGGAGTAGCAATGAACGCCAAGAAAATTTTCAATGTTTCAAGGAATAAAGGAGAATGTTATGCAATTATACGATTACACAACTCAGAGTTCTGATCTGCGATGCAGCTCATTGTATTAAAAACGCATTTTCAGAAGTATTTTGTGAAGAACCGGCTATTCGTATGTGCTGGGCACACGCTAAAATAGATATAAAAAAAATGTCCCAAAAAAAGATAAAAAAAAAAGTTTTGAGTGATGTAGATGCTTTGCATAACGTAGCTTCACTCGAATTGTTTAATGCCGCTTCGCAAGCTTTCCTTAAGGAATGGAAAACATAAACCTCCTTTCTGAAGTACATGGAAGAGGAATGGTTCAGAAAGAATCGCAATTGGTTCTCGGATGCAGCACCTATGTCACCATCGACCAATAATGTCCTCGAGTCATTTAATAGAAACGTAAAAGACCATAATACATTGCGAGAACGATTTCCTCTGTCGCGATTTCTGTCTGTTGCTATCGATATGATAACCCAATGGTCATTAGAGTCATCTACGTTACCTGAGGCATCTACTATTGAACTTGGACAATGGACGGAAGCTTACTTGTGGGCGAAAAAAAGCATAAGTACGTAGGCGGGATGATAAACTAGCCCAATCCATATTTTGTATAATAACGATAAAAAATCTCGTTAGTATTTTACTCATTGGTTCATTAGCTGCCAGTGTTCCAAATTTTAAATCGATTGTATAGTTTTTCTTTTAAATTTTGACATTTCAAAAAGCATTCTTTTGTTTTTTCTGCAAATTGTCTTGCTTTATATATCTTATTATTATGTACTTCTTTCTTTGTAAAAACCCATTTTGTATCCAAGCACTTCATGTTTTCAGACTTAGGTATTTTCTTCCAAGTATTACTTTCTTGTAATATTTTTATTTCTTCATTTATTGCTTTTTTCCAAAATTTTCTATCATTTATATCATAGTAGCTTCTTGGTATATCTTCACTTTGTCCTGTTAACAAAGCATATAATGCTTCTTCCTCTTCCTCAAAGTTAAGCTCATAATCTTTATGCCATTTTGGTTTCTGTCGATTCCTTTGCTGTCTTCCTGTATTTTCTTTATATTTTTCTGTTATTTGTTTATTTTCCCTACTTTCATTTGTGTTTTCTTCTTCTATATTAATATTATCATTCTCTTCCTGTTCTTGTGAACTATGATACTCTTCAAATGATTCCTTTTTTTTGCTCGATCCTTCTATACTTTCTTGCTCTATGTTCTTATGTATCATAATAAACTTCTCTTCCTTTTCTTTTAAGTCTTCATCAAAAATTACATTCCTTGCCATTTTCATTTTCTTTGGATCCCAAAGTTTGTATCCACTTGTACAGTAACCAACCATTATTAATTTATTTGCTTTTGGGTCTAATTTTTTTCTTAACGCATTTGGTACATGATTGTATGCAGTGGCTCCAAAAGTTCTCAGATGTGATACATCTGGTTTATAGCCATAAAATAATTCACTAGGTGTTTTATCTTTATTTATTATCGGGCTTCTATTTGTTAAGTACAGCTTTTTACACAATACAGCTTCACCCCACATGTTTTTAGGTAAATTTGAATCTAATAATATAGTTCTAACCTTGTCTAACAATGTTCGATTCATGCGTTCTGCGACTCCATTCATTTCTGAATTATACGGAACTGTGTACTGTAACAAAATTCCATTATCACTACAAAAATTATGAAAATCATTAGAAACATATTCTCGTCCATTGTCACATCTCAATTTTAGTAAGTCACAGTCAAAATGTGTAGTCACATATTTATAATAATGTTTAAACTTTTCATATACTTCAGATTTATGTTTTATCAAATATATAATAACAAAATGTGTATAATCACCAATAAAAGTTACTATGTAATTACAACCGTCCCATGTAGTGGGTGTGATTGGGCCACACACATCACTATGTACTAACTGTAGTGGCTTTGATGCCCTATGACCTTTTTATTAAACGGAAGTCTAGTCATTTTACCCATTATGCAAGATTCACACAGCCGATTGTCTACTTTACTTAAACCAATACCATCTACCATATTTTTATTTATTAAAAAATTAAGACTGCTGGTACTTAAATAACCATAACGTTTATGCCACAGATCGCTCATTGGTTCCACAATGTTACACTCTGACTTTTCACACTGAAACTTAACCAAATACAATGAGTTACCATCATTATTATTTCCTGTGATTATTAACTGTCTTCTATTATTATAAATTTTAACACATCCATATGAGAAAATCACTTTACATTTATGTTGCTCGATCTTAGAAACAGACAATAAATTTTTTCTTAACCCTTTATAAGGCAGAAGGATTCAGAGGTATAAAATAACTTGCGCTTACATTTTTGGCATGTTTTTATTTATATAATAAAAATAAACTTAAAAGAAAAACACTAATTATTTCAGAAGTTTTGGAAAAATAGGTGGTAAAAATATTCCCATTGCCCATCAACAGACCCATATGCAAGCTAAATTTGTGACATTACTTTCTGTGAAATTGTGCAATACAAGGCGTAATGCAAAGAGGGACATTACACTTACTGCATTTTATTTTGCTACGCTTATCTTTGACCTTTGTGCTGCACAATTTATAGCGTTGGTAAGTCTTCAACTCTGCCGGCATATGGTCACCTACGTTTACAAACCGCAGTTCTTCAGGTACAGCATTTATACTTTTTTGATATACCTCTGGGCATGCTATGCGTGATTTCTTGCAGATGTATGTAGGCAAGCTTGATCTTCTTTTTCTGCTGCTATAGCCACCAATCAAACCTCTGGCAACAGCCACCCGAAACTCTAAGTTAGTAAGCTTTTCTACTCTTGATGTTAGGGAATATAAAATGAAAGAGTTTGTCAAACTTGCGTCCACCAAGAAGTAGAATTTCCGCAACCACCAGCGTTTACTTCTCCTTCCGACAGCATACGCCCCTTCACTTGGTCGAAACGGTCGACACCGCCCATTCGTTTGGTGTATTCTTTCACAACCCTAGGACAATGTCCAGCCTCCCAGGTGCCATTTTTCGCGTTCTTTGTACAGAAGTTACTTCTACTTTAGGATGAAATGCAGTTGTCAACAATAAAACCTCTTTAGTATCTTGCCACACAGTAAATGCTACATCTTGTTTAGTTCTCCACTTGAACTCACCTTTTTTCAACTTTAGGCTTTTGTTTCTGCCGTTTTTATTTATATTATTTTTTATTATGTTAGGTAAAATTGCGCTATTTCTTCTAACTGTTCCAGTGGCATAAATATTTTTTTCATACAAGTACTGCATGACAGAAAAGTCGCAAAAAAAGTTATCGAATGTAACATGAGTCTTGAAATCTTCTTGTGCTAATTTACTTGACAATTTCTTTACGACATTAGCTCCTAGACCCTCTTCTGTTCCTTGTCCTGTTTTGCCTGTATAAATTTCTAGTTATTTAAGTACCCTGTGCTACTATCACAACAGCACCACACTTTATAGCCCCTTTTTATGGGTTTTAGCGGCATATACTGCTTCATACTGGACCTTCCTTTGAATAGTATCATGCTCTCATCGATACTTTGCGAAGAGGAATTAGAGGCATTGTTTTGAAATGATTGACTAAGTAAGGATATAAGAGGACGAATTTTATATAATTTATCAAAATTTACATCTTCTCTACTTGGTTGTTGACTATTATCGTTCAAATGCAAAGTCACTAAAATTTTTTTGAAGCGTTTTACTGGCATAAGTTCAGCTATTTCCTTCACATGAAATCCAGGATCCGATGACCAATATAAATCGATTTGTGGAAGAATATGATAACCCATTATAATGAGAATGCCCAAAAAAGCACTAATTTCCTGTTTGTCAACAGGCTGCCAATTTTTTATATTTTGCTGCTCCGCATACAAGTTTGTCTGAGTAACAATCAAATCGAACACTTCATCACTAAAAAACTTTTTGAAATGCGCTACTGGACGTGCTCTCCTATTCAATAAATACCGAGGTTTTATTGTCACCTTATCAAATTCATCGGGATCTGGCCTGGATGTCCAGAAATCCTTTCCCCATGACTCATCTTCACATTCAGATTCATCAGTCAATCCTTGTTCTAAGGGTGATGATGATTGTACTATCAAAGGCTCTTTTGGCTGCGAGTTATCTAATTGTGAACATAGTGCTATTGTAGATGTATCTGACTCTGAACTGTTATTAGGGGTAGAATTCAAATGAGCAGGACAATTTTGTAAAAGGTTACTAGAATCATCATCTGATTCAAGTAACCGTTGTATTGTATTCACGTTGAACTCTTCTGCCTCATCAGACTCAAATCCGTCTTCTGAGCCATCATCGGGAATGCCGAAAATCTGCTCCAATGTCTTTTCAATATCATTTTCATTAAAATAACGCGGCATTTTTCATAAAAACCTGAGAAAAGAAGGAACTAGTACAACAAGTGTATATAACACGCCACGGGCAGCGGGAATATTTTTCCCACCAAGTAAAAAGTCCTCTCACATCTAAATACGATAGTAACTTCTAAGGTATAGCAAACAACTTGAAGAATAATCAAAAATACATAATAAAAAAACAGATTCTTACCTCTTTTCAAATAAAAAATATGAAGTTTCGCGGAGTAACAAATTTTCTTTCAAAATTGGCGCAATTTTTTGACAGCTAGTGGCGCCAAGAAAAAATATGTCACACAAACATCATTTTTTTTCTTAATAATAATAAGGCATACCTCCTTAGTTGCTAGTGCAACAAATTAGGACTTCTTTGATAACTCACATAGTAAGATAAGCAAAATTTTTGTTGGTGGTAAATATATCGCCTCTGCCTTAAAAGGGTTAACTCTGGAACATAATATACATTTTTTATAGTAACAATATGTATTTCATTTTTCACTGTTGACAAAACCTGAATATTACCTATGCCTTTTGCATCCAATGATATTCCATTCTTAGCAGCTGATATTTTTTTAGGCTTTTTCAATTCTAAGTATTCATAAAAATAGTTTAATGAATTTATTAAATAATCAGTACATCCTGAATCTACACAAAACTCTAAATTATTATTCTTATGTTTAAAAACTGAGTAACTTTCATTATGAATAGATAAGGCTTGACTGTTGTGTTCATACTCACAGTTGTAAGACTTATTATACCCTCCTTTTTGATTTCCTCCTAAATTTGACCCATGATAACTTCTGCTATATGTACTATTGAAGCGATTCGGAGTCTGCATAAAATGTCCTCTATATGGTCTTCCCTGTTTATGGTTAAAGTTGTTCTGCATAGGTGGGTGTCCTCTATATATTCCACTCTGATAGTGACTTCCATGATTGCCCCTGAAGTTCTGATGACTTCCTCTGAAATTTCCTCTTGCTAGATTTTTGTTGTAACGATTAATTGTCCTATAATTGTTACACATAAAAGCATTATCTGTGCTGGTGGGTTTCTTTTCTTTTTTCTTCTTCTCCTAGTAATCTTTCTTTTATAAAATTGGTAGATAAATTTTGTATAGTTTCTATGGCCGTGACAACACTATCATAACTCTTGGGCATTGATAACAAAATATAATTCACTTTTTCTTCTTCAGACAAAGGGTGTTAAACCCTTGATATTTGAAGCTAGGATAGTTTCATAACTATTAACTATCAATATTCCCATTGTTGTTATTATCATTTAGTAACCTTTTGACATACTAAGTTCACTTATCAATTTGTTAACAAACAGGCATCTGTTTTCCTATGGGAAACAATAATATTATGATTACATATTTTAAAAAGGGCCATCTGTTCTTAAACCCATTTCGAGGTAAACTATCTTAATTACTCTTTTACTAATATTTACAACAGACACCCTTTGTGCTCCCGCGACGTCACCATATGCCCTTGTGCTCCCACGACGTCACCATATGCCTGATTGTACTGAATATAAATAGGACGCTGTAAAATTATTAGTTAGTTCTTACTCAACCACCAACTACGAAAGATGTAGCTAGGTTTATTATAATAAATACATTTTTAAAAAGTCTTCCCGTCGTCTAAATTGTAACAGTGGCGCAGTCGGTAGGATAGCTAGGAAGTGACTTCAGGCTCATCGCGAGAAGAAGCCAGCCCCATCAGCGTACCCGTAAAGTTGCTGCATACAACCAAGGGAGCGGAAAAAATGAAAGCTGTGGTCCTGCTAATGTAAGTCCTCACATATTTCATTCCGTTAACTGATTGGGTATAACCTTCCTTGTCTTCCCATTTTTATATATTTTGTGTTTTGTTCGCGATCCTTATATTCTTATTAAAATTGAATTAAGATCGGGAAAAATGGCAACGGGAAAAGACGATAAAATTGAAATTAAAGTTGAACCCCTAATTGCAACGGGTCAATTATTAAATATAATACCAAAATTTAGTGAAAACACTAAAAATTTAAATTGTTTTATTTCGAACTGTAAAACTGCGCAAAAACTTGCCAGTCCAGTTCAAGCGCAAATATTATTACCACACGCTATAGCCCAGCTAGAGGGAAAAGCGGCGGCTTTTGCTAATAGTCGATCTTTCGACAATTTAACACATTTCTTAGATGAACTAAGTCAACACTTTAAAAAAAAACGCAACATTAGCGAATTATTATTAGCGTCTCAATATACTAGACAAAAGGGATCTATGAGTCGTTACGTTGATTCATTCAACGAAATTAGAGATGAATTGTTATCAAATGAAATTATATTGAATGATAGATATGGAGTTTTGAAAAGCGAATATGACAAAATTCTTTTGAATAATTTCCTTGTAGGTTTAGAACCTAATTATTATAATAAAATTAGATTAGAGAAACCCAGGAGCACCGAAGAAGCATTTAACTTAGCTCTTGAGGAAGAACGTTCATTGAATTACTATAATAATGTTTTAAATAAATTTTCTGAGCTAAAGGTAAATAAAAATGAAACTCAAAGCTCTAAACCGAGGCTTTCTCAGCCTTCCACCAGCGGAATAAATAACAATCGCAACAACTTCAACCGTAATAATCGTTTTTGTAGTTTTTGTAAAATTCCTGGCCATACACAAGAATATTGTAGAAAAAAGAATGCACCTGTTGCATCAACATCACGCGAAAATTTTGATAATAGACGTCGCGTAAATAATTTAAACGATGTGACGGAAGTCGAGGCCGAGCAGACGACTTCCGGCGACGAAGCGGAAGCCCTGTTGAACCTGCTCGAGTACTCATAAATAACGTAATTTTACCAAAGCGTAATAAGTTGCTTTTTATTAGATATAAAATTGATCAAATAGAAATAAAATTATTGATTGACACAGGCGCTGCAATCTCTACAATAAATTCAACTATTTCAAATTCCTTAACAAATATAAAACTTCATAAAGAAAACATTAGTATAAAAGGAATAGGAAACGAAAAATTTACTTGTTCCGAATATATAGAGTTACCTATACCTTCAGGAAAATATAAACACAAATTTTATGTTATAGACCTTCAAACTCCTTATGACGGAATCTTAGGGTTAGATTTTCTAAAACGATTTAAAGCCAAAATCAATACAGAAAATAATGAAGTTCAATTATTAAAGCCTACTGAAAATCAAATAGAAAATAAAGAAAATTATTCGGGAAAACGGATCATATTATCGGGTCGAACTGAACAAATAATACCGATCCATATAAAAAATGTCGCTGAAGGCGAATGCTTACTGGAATCAAGCAAAATAAATGATAAAATTATTTTACCAAACGCACTTATAAATGTTAAAAATCACATCGCATATGTGTCGTGTATAAATACCGTTTGTCGGAACACGGAAATGGATATTCCTGTTCTTAACGCAAATCGTATTAATTTAAATGAAATTCAAATAAATTCAATATTAAATAACTCGTTCGAACGGCGTGAAAAAATATCGAGCCTTCTAAGAACTGAGCATATGAACAATGAAGAAAGAAAAAGTATCTTAAAAATTTGCAAAGAATTTAATGACGTGTTTCACCTGGAAGGAGATCGTTTTACTTTTAGTAACGCAGTGAAACATCGTATTGACACTGGGGACTCTCCGCCAGTTTACACGAAAAATTACAGATATCCACAAATTCATAAAGAGGAAGTGAAAACACAAACGAAAAACCTCTTAGCACAAAGAGTAATAAGACCTAGCCATAGCCCTTATAATTCACCTATTTGGATAGTGCCTAAGAAGGTGGACGCAAGCGGTAAGACTAAATGGCGAATGGTTATAGATTATAGGAAATTGAATGAAGTTACCAAAGCGGATAAATATCCAATACCTAATATTGTGGACATATTAGATAAATTAGGTAAAAGTAAATACTTTTCAACTCTTGATTTAGCAAGTGGTTTCCATCAAATTGAAATGCACCATCAAGATATTGAAAAAACAGCCTTTTCCACAGAAGAAGGACACTTTGAATATACGCGGATGCCATTTGGACTAAAAAATGCACCCGCTACGTTCCAAAGAGTGATGGATAACGTATTAACGGGCCTTACAGAGGACCATTGTCTGGTCTACTTAGACGATTTAATTATCCATGCTTCATCGTTAGAAGAACATGAGCTAAAGTTAAAAAATATACTGAATAGATTACGGGAGTATAACTTAAAGCTTCAACCAGACAAATGCGAGTTTCTTAGAAAAGAAGTCGCTTATTTAGGCCATATAATAACGGATAAGGGTATACTGCCAAACCCAGATAAAATAAAAGCTGTAAAACTATTTCCACAACCTAAAAATACTAAAACAATTAAGGCTTTTCTTGGATTAGTAGGTTATTATCGTCGGTTTATTCCAAATTTTGCGGATATCACGAAACCTCTAACAAAATTATTAAAGAAAAATATTAAATTCATTTGGACGGAGGAATGCACAAAAGCAATGGAAATTTGTAAAGAATTATTAACAACGGCACCTATATTACAATATCCTGATTTTGAAAAGGAATTTATAGTAACTACGGATGCTTCAAACGTCGCGATAGGTGGAATCCTTTCACAAGGAAAAGTAGGAGAAGATAAGCCGGTTGCTTACGCCTCTCGTACGCTTAACGAGACGGAACAGAAATATTCTACTATAGAAAAAGAATTATTGGCTATAAAATGGTCAATTAAACATTATAGACCATATTTGTTTGGAAGAAAATTCACCATCGTCACTGATCATCAACCACTTACATGGCTATTTTCAGTAAAAGATCCTGGATCACGTCTCGTCCGATGGAGATTGGAACTTGAAGAATACGACTATAAAATATCATATAAACCAGGAAAGAAAAATCAAAATGCGGACGCATTATCAAGACCTTTTGTTAACTATTTACAGAACAATATAAATGACGAAATGTCACATTTTAGGAAACAATTATTAGAAGGATCAATAAATCCTATTGATATAATTGAATCAACCAATTCTATATTTGATAATAAACATCAAAATATGATCTTGTTTTTACCTTGTCAAGTAACGGCAAATAATGAAATTTATGAAAAACTAATAACATATTTTCCGACAGAAATAAAAAATTTAAAAGGAAAATTAAAAACAATTAAAGTTGTTCCAGATCCATATACAATAAATAGAATATATTACTTATGTTTCGATAGAAACACAAACTCAGATTCGGAAATGCTAGAGAGTTTCTATAAAACATTAATTGAATTAAAAATAGCATTGATTGATAAAAATGTTACGGATACAACATTGTTTATATATATTCCCGAAACAACATCGCACGATCGCGAATATGATCGAGAAATCGCAAAACAAGTATTATCATATGTTTTCCACGAAAATAATTATAAATTTGTGATTTGTGAATTAACGGATCAAATAATAATACCACCTGAAAGTCAAAGACAAAAGATAATATCTTACTATCATGACTCGAGATTTGCTGCACATAAAGGCATGGATGAAACAATTAGGAGAATCAAATTAAAATATAAATGGAAAAATCTGACTTCAGACGTAAAAGATTATATTAAAACTTGTGATACTTGTCAAGTAAATAAAATCGATAGAAGAAATTGGTCACAACCATTTGTAATATTATCTAGCGTAAATAAACCATTAGAAAGGATAAACGTAGATATAATTGAATTTGGTAAACAAAACGAAAAGATTTATGCACTTACTATTATTGACGAACTTACTAAATACTTAGCTGCGTATATATTAAAACAAAAATCAACTACAGAAGTAATAAAATCATTATTGTGTTATTGCCAACATTTAGGCATACCTCTTCGTTTTCATTCAGATTTAGGAGCTGAATTCGTATCTAAAGCCATGAAGAAAGTTTGTGAAATCATGGAGATTCAAAAATCAGAAGCGCTAACGCAATTTCCCCAGTCAAATGGAGGCATAGAAAGGGTACATGCTACAATAAAAGATTCTATGCGATG